CAGCCTAGTCAGGCAAACAATGGTAAAAGAACAGCCAGCAGGCATCTCCAGCTGGCAGACAACACACAGCAAAATAAAGGGATTTGCCAAGGACATGGCCTTATCTTGCTGTACATCTCAGGTGAGAGCTGGGTATGTACAGACAGAAGGCAATGTACTCTTGTTCTGGATGAACACACACTTTGGATTTTGAAGTGGTTTTACTCCTTCTCCCACCCCTCCTTTTTGGTGTCTTTGCCTCCTTCATTCTTTTATCTTTTCTTTTTTTCTTTCTTTGTTTTTGTTTTCAGGCCTGCTCCACACTGTCCCTGGCATTCTCTGTCCCTCTCTCCAGCCAGGTCACAGGTGAATTCTGTCATCAGCCAGCCCTCACTTCCCTCACACAAATGCTTGTAGGCAGCTGGTGCCAATTCCTCTTTTCTCCAGTAATAATGGATTCCCTGGGACACTCTGCCTCAGCTGTAATTTTGGCCTTGAACAGAATAACCTGACCGTGCCAGTAGCTGGAAACAGCAGCTCTGTGCTCAGGTCTTTCTGCCTCCTCCCTCTGCCTGTTTACAATTCCACCTGCTCTCCCCTGCCTTGCCTTGCAGTAATCTGATCATTCCCTCAGCTTCCCAGCCCTGGCTCCCAGGGGCTGCACAATTATGGAGAGAGAAGCAGCCCCAGACTGGGGAGATACTGTAACAGCTGATATGAGGGATGCAGGATTCCAGGCATCTCTCTAAAATGCAGTTTATTCCATCCAAGATGTTACAGCAGCCCAGGGTGGTGGGTAACAGAGCTGTGCCCACAGCTGTCAGCTCCAGCTGCAGCCAGGCCTGGAGACCCTGAGTTTTGGATACATTGCTTTATATACTTTTCTTTGCTGAGCATCTTAATACAGTAGAACCAATCTATACCTTAACTATTATCTATAGCCTATCATAACCACTATAATTAACATATTCATGTTACTGTTCTCCAATCACTGAAAGTTAATACATTACAGTTTAAGCTAGAAGTTGTTTTTCAGTTTTCTTGCAGTGGAAAATTCTGAGACCTTTTTTCTACTTGCAACTTTGCTGACCTGTTTACCTGTGCTCTCTTTCTGCTTGGTAAAAACATCTTCTTGTTTGAGGTGGGTTTATCCTTTGCTCTAAGTCACAAAACCCCCTTCTAATTAACACACCCTTTGCCTCCTTGGTTATCCAGTAAGACTGGCTCAGCAATTCTTTTCCTCTATATCAAAACTCGCTTCCATCTCTATCCCTTCATCAGACTCTACATTTAAAAATCTTTCTGCTAAGCACACATATCTGTGAGAATTTCTTGTCAAACTTTCATCCTTCCCAACACAAGATACAGCACAGGGCTTTGGACAGTGCTATTGAGTAATTCATCAGCAGTGGCATCCCTGTGGAAAACAAGTCATCAGCAAAATGAGAGGTGTGTGACCTTCCCCTCTGAACCCCAGGGCAGCTCTGACTGCTGATGGCTTCCTGTAGGGCTCCTTGTGCTCCCTCTGTGCTCTGAAGAACAAGAAGAAATCTGTTTCCACGGGAAAACCCTTCCAGCAAAGTGCCCAGGGGTGTTTGCACATCCCCACCGAGTGCCTGTGCAGCTCCTGCAGCAGCTCAGAGCTGCTGAGGGTTTCCACCAAAGGGCTCTGTCACAGAAATCTTTTCATAAAAATCCTTTCTTTAGGATTTTCCTTTCTGGGAAGCTGAGTTCCCAGAAAAAAAAAAAAAAAATAAACATTGATTATCTGCTGCTGTGGAATGCAACAGGTGCACCTGTGATTGACCCATGTTGGATGTTTACAATTAATGGCCAACCAAGGACCAAGCTCTCTCAGGGACAGAGTCAGAGAGAGCTCCTTTGTTATCATTCTTTTCTATTCTTAGCTTAGCTAGCCTTCTGAGAACTTTTCCTTCTATTCTTTTTAGTATAGTCATAACGTAATATATATATCATAAAGTAATAAATCAAGCCTTCTGATCATAAAATCAACGTTCTCATCTCTCTCTTCACCTCAAAAGCCTTGTGACCACGGTCACAGGGCTCCACCCTGCAGAGCTGCTGTGTGCACAGAGCAGCAGCTGTGGCCCCGAGGTGCTGTGCAGTGTCCTTGCCTGCCCTTGCTGTGGTGGCCACAAGCTCTGTGCTGCTGCAGCCCCGGGGACCACAGCGCTCCTGGCTGTGAACCACAGCTCCCAGCCGGCCTCTGACCCGCGGCTCTGCAGGTTTCCATTTCAGTCATAAAAGAAAAAGAGAATTTTGTTAAAACTTTGCAAAGGGTGTGGGGGATAGAGCTCAGTCCTATGTTTTTTCTAGAAGTGCCTTTCTGCAGGATGCTGCTGCTGATAAACTCCCAACACTGCTCTCTTACCCATGCATCTCCTCTCCTATACCTCCCTTACATTTGTGTCGGTCCTCCAGTCCAATGCAGCATAAGCTATGTGTGACACAGATGTCCAGTGACCTTTCCTGGAACATCTGTGTGAAAAATGCGTATTTTATGATTGGCTTTTGGTAAATATTAAGATGAATATTATATATGTTATGTTAGAAAGTAATGCTGTATTAATTGTTTTAAGTAGTGTGTTAAATATAGTTTTAGGTTATAAAAATTGTTAAAATAGAAACTATGCCATGTAGGATACTTTCTTTAAAGAAAGGACTTGCAGCAAGATAGCAGCCACAGGACACCTAAATCTTTCAGAGAAAAAGAATTTATTGCTCTCTTATCAGAAGAAACAAACTTTTTCTCACCTCAAAGGCCCTGTTAGGATTCAGAGGAAGAAGCTGACACTGACCAGACAGAATCCTGTGTTTGAATGGAATTTATGCATCATGTATGAGGTGTATGAATATGCAACAGGCTGTTGTTTTTAAGGGTTAATCCTCTGTTAACGGGTGTCCTTTTTCCGGCTCATGCTGCCCAGAAAAAGATACCCGGATGTCCGTAACTCTTTGTCTCTATTGTCTCATATTTCCTAATTCAAATTTTCCAAATTATTATTACTCTAATTATATTACTATTTTATAAACATTTTATAACTATTAAACTTTTAAAATTTAAAAAAAAACCAAGTGATTGGCGTTTTTCACAATCTGAGTCCTGTGCTTTAAAGAATACATTGACTTTCCATTCCATACCACTCCATATTAAAAGCTGATTCCCCAACCTTACCTCAACTAGATTTTTATAGATTTGCCCTGTTCAGTGGTTCAAAACAGCCTTGTTAGCTAGAAGAAAGAAGTTTTTTCCCCTTCAGTTTTCAAAGAGAGGGTTGTGTGGGCCTGCAAGTCTTCAAAGCCTATGGTCTGTGGTCCAAGAGCTAAAAACAGTCACAAACTTCACCACCAGATGGATGGAAACTTAAGGCTCATCTTGCTCCTCTTTCTCCTTCAGCAGTAATAAAAAAAGAGCTGCTTTTAAAAGAGTTTATCAGTTGGAATTTTTCTCTGCCTGTAACTGGGAAGAAGCAAAGAAACCATGGCAAGATCCCAGATTTAGCCTAGCTACAGGATTCACAGTCCTGAGAAGTGCTCGCACAACCCAGTGAGGTATCACTCAAATATGTAAATATGTTTCCCATGGGGAGCTCTCAGACTCTGCCTCAGAGGAAGAGCTTTGCTTAAATAAGCACAGAGCAGCTTTGTGGAGCCTGTCCCTTCAGGCTGCTGGTCCCAAAAGCTGTGCAAGTCCTGGCCAGGCTCACTGGAGAGCAAGGAAATGTGTTCAGCTGCAGGCACTGCCTTCTCCAGCCCCACCAGTGCTCCCCTCCCTGCTCTGCTGCTGCCCTTTGCTAATAATAGAGCACTTGGATTTTTTTCAGGGAAGGAACATAGTGCATGTGGGTTGTGCACAGGGAGGGTGACTCTGAAATGCATTTTTTTGTGAGGCTAAATTATAATGATTCAGCTTTTGTCTTGCTTTGAGATTAGTGCAGTCATGCTATGACAGTTGTGGATCCTTTTCTTACCAAAAATACAATGTGAGTTGTCCCTTAAAGTGATGGCAATTCCTGCTTCTCTGGAGCAGCCTCCTTCCTGACACAGAACACTGGAATTGTTTTGCCATTATTTTTGACAACTCTTCCATTTATCCCCATTTCTTTGAACCAGGGATTTGGAAATCTTCTGTGCCAGCATGGCCAGAATACTTTAAAGCATAGAACGCAAAATTTTAGATAAATTATTCTCAGAATAAATTATTTTCAGAATATTTTAGAAGAAGATATAGTTCAAGAGCGCCAGAGAAAATAGTCACGAAATGGAATGAAAAGGAGGAGGAGGTGTAGGCATAAGAACAGCAGCAAAGGCTCAACCAGGAGAGAGGGAACAGAAACTGGATGAAATCAGGATATAAAAGCTTATAAATCTCTTTATTTTAAGGTACAAAAAATACCAAGTCCTAAAATATGATCTTTTCCTGGCAATGACCACACTGCTAAGAAATTTGGAGCAAAAAGGGTGGGTGTGCTCAGGGGCATTTTTCCAGCCTTGTGCTTGAGACCTCTTTTCTTCTGTGCCTGATTCAAGCAAGTGCTACTGCAAGCCACACATGGGCACACAAACAAAAATCCCTTGAGAAAATAGAAGTAGGCTTTACTTGAGACAGCAAAAACAGAGCAAGCTTTGCATGCAGATGGCCTTCTCTGGAATCTCACTGGCTTTCAGCACATCAGCATGGCTGTGTATCTCTGAGTTACTGTGACAGGAGCTGAGAATGGATGGCTGCCTGATTTACTGCACTTTTTGAAGCCAGTTTTCAGAGATTGCGACTATTTTGGAAGGCCAGGTTTTAGAATCTAGTTTCAGAAGGTGCTTGACATTAGCAAGTGACTTTTGCCACTCTGGTATTTCCTTCAAAGATGACAGAGGTTAAAGGAAAATCACTCATAAAGGAGAACTGAGTTTGGTTTCTTGTCACATTCTGCTTGTCTAGGGAGGTGTTTTTCAGAGGTTTGTTAGACCCAGCTTCATAGCATGAATTCCAGCAGTGAGAAGGGGCTGTGATCAAGGGAATAAACACACTCCTGAGCACAATACATTTACCCTGGCTTGGTTTGTGGCCTCCTGCACTGGTTGGGAAGAAGTGGGATCAGCAGGTAACAAAACAGGCAAATTGATTTTGATGGTGTTTTTACTAATTATTTACTTTTTTTTACTTTTCATTTTCCTTCATATTTTTCCCCCCCTGTTGGCTTTCTGGTGTCCTGGGTTTACTTTCTGCTCTCGGTCGCTCGGCTCCCTGCCCCAGTGAGAAATCATTCAGCCAGCATGGCAAATGTCAGAAAAGAATTTCAATGACTGCTGCTAGTGTTAATCATTGTATTCCTGAATCAGTTTTGTAAGGCAGTGTCTGGAGAAGTGAGAAGAATCACATTTGTCTGACAAACTGCCATAACTCCACTGACACCCAAAATGAGCAGTTACTTGGCTTAGCGCTGACTGGGGCCTCTCATTTCATTTAAGAATGCATTTCCCTCTGAAATTCATGGCTGCTTTATAGTAAGAATGACTATTCTTTCTGTCTCATTTGGGTCACATCCACTGAACCCAGTAGCAGATGAGGGAACAAAACTCTAAAAGATGTGTCCCTTCAACATTGCTAAGAAGCAAAAAGTTGATGTGTCCATCAGCAGTTATTCTCTGCTCCTTGTTCTATTCAGTCTTGAAACAAGAATTTCCCCAGACCTCATTTTTTGCACAATTTAATTGTGCTGTAACTTGTTATAGTAGAAAAGTATAGAACAATATTTTCAGAAAAGCAAGATCTCTAGGGAGAGACAACATTTTTTACTAGCCTTGCTGATATATTTGGAAAAATCAGGAATGCTGCCAGGTTCTGAGGCTCTGCAGGTGACACTGTGCTTTGAAAATGTTTCATATCTGCTCTGATGAATGATATTAGCTCTGCTCCAAGCTTCACTTTCTCTGGCCACCAAAGCTATAACAATGTTACTGGTCAAAAACCACACAAGGGATCATTCCTTCACCCCAGCCTTCCATAGGCCATTAAAATAAAATTATTATTGTATGTCCTTTAAGAGGTTGGGAGTGAAGAAGAAATGTGTTTTATATCAATGGGCAACATTTTCTTTCCAGCCCTTGTCTGGTGTTGGCCTTTGATCACTCCTGCCTCACATCAGCTGTGATTATCTCAGAGCTGAAGCCAGGCTGAACCCTCCCACTCACTTCTGGATATTCCCCCTGCTCCCCACACAACCTACCATCAGACCAACAGCTTCTGCTCTGTTTGAAACACATTTCATAACTGTCAGCTTCTGGTACCAGCTTTTATAGACATGCAAAATAGCTTTCCTTCCCCCAGCGCCCATATGCTGAACTGCCAGATTACAAAGATGCCCTTTTTTAAAGTTCAAATTTGTAAAGTCTCATTAAACTGAAAATTAACTGAAAAATGAGACTTCAAACAGTTGCCTCTCTTAAGCAGTGCTACATGACTAGGAAAACTGTTTTCTTTGACAAGCCTTTTTAAAGCTCTGTTTGCCCTAGGTAGTGTCTGGTTGTGAATCTCAGACCTAAAATTTCCTTTTTAGTTACATTTAGTTCAATTCCCAAATGGTCTTTCAGGGGAGCCTTTCAGCCAAACTTCTGCATCTTGGATCATATGCCTGACATACTGAAGGAAAACAGAAATCAGGAGAGAAAACAGAAGCTGGAGAGAAGCAGCATTTTATCCAAAGTGAAAGGGAAGGTGGGAGCCAGAGCAGAGCTGCACCATCTCAGCTCTAGGATGTGCAGCAGGTGCTGCTCCTGGGCTCCTGAGCTCATTTGCTCATGTTTTGTAGCAGAAATTTGTCATGGCTTCACAGCTGCCTGCCTGGGCTCCTGCAGGCTGAGGATATTTGAAAAGCAGAATACAGGATCATGTGTTTTTTCTCACTATAAACTAGATGAATAAAATTTGTGCTTGGGTTTGTATTTATACATGACCATTTTCCCAGAATGAGGTAATACATTAAATGTTAATGTTTATATTAATGAACTCCCAGAGTTCACTTTGGCCAGAAAGGTGAAGCATGTTTAACCAATCTGTTAGCTGCCCATGGCTATTTTCCTCAGGGTTACCACAGTGGATTGCAATGCTCATTTAAATTCCAGCATCTTCCCATCTAGGACAGGCTGGTATCCTGGTTTCACTGGCCTCCTGTTCACACAAAAATCAAGCAGTGCATATAGGCCTGGCTATATTTGCACTTAACCTGGATACAGATCTGCTGATGGAACAGAGGTGTGGCACAACTTGAAATGGTTTGGACCAGCTCTGTGTTTGGACCAGCTCTGTGCCAGGCTATACAAGAAAGAATACACGTAAAGCTTCTAGGTGTTTTGATCAGCATGGTCATAGCGATTCCAGGGCAAAAAAAGGGTTAAAGAAAAATCCCACACAAGCACAAACATACCAAAGCCCATATTTGTATTGTGGGCCAAACCTGATTGTCTTTAAAATGTGTTCGTAGCAGCTAATGAGCTAGCACACCTGATAAATGTTTCATTTTTATTTAGAGCACAAGCACTCAGAAGTCTTGGTGTTAGATATGTTATGTGATATGTTATCACATGTATGATATGTGATATGCTCACATTTTTTGTGCTTCTTTAGCCTTGTGCATGGACCCCCTGAGTTTCACTGTCTATCTCAGTAACAATAGTGCAAGGTGCCTTATTCTCAGGAAATTGAACAGAGACTCTTTATTTCCTGGGATTTCCTCAGTTTAAACATTCAAGTTTATGCAGTTTTTTCCTGCATTTGCATGCCATGAAGAAAGAACAGGTAATGTCTGTGAATGATGTTTTCTTTTGCTGACCTTGTCTTCATCCCAAATTGAGGATGTTTTTGACTAATTGGCCCCTATATTTTCAAATTTGGATTTGATACGTCAGGGCAGAGGCATAAAGGCTGTCTCCAGGTAGAGTCATCTCAGGCTGTAAGATTTCAAAACTTAAAATGGTTTCATCTCTGAGTGCTCCTTGGACGCCATTTTGTGGTAGCTTTATAAAAGTATGACTCAGAGCCTGTAATTAATCCCTAAAGCATTTCATTCTTTGATGAGTTTTGCAACACATGGGACTTCACAATAATGGTGAAATCATTTCCAAAATGTCTGTATGAGTTCAGCTATAACACTTCTGCTGGGAATATAGCAACATATTTATTTCTGTGCTCAGAAAGAGGAAAATGCAATAAAGATGGATGTATTCCACCTTCAAACAAGGAACAAATTGTGAGAGTCAAAAATACCTGTGCATATATATAAAATTCATAATAGCCTTCTGTAGTTAAATTTCCTCATGATTTGTTAAACAGGGAGAAGTGCTGGGAGAACTTAATGATGACTTAATGTGAGAAGGCTATTGAATTTCTGGGACATTGTTCACAGAATTATCTACACTGTTTGAAGGTAACTATCCATATTGCTTTCCAAGACTGATTCATTGAGTGTAATTATTTCAGTGCAGGATTAGAATAAAGATTAATTTAGGTAATTTGCTGTCCAGGGCCAGGAGCAGATGCTTAGAAATGAGCACCAGCTTATGATTTCATAATACAGCTTAAGCCAAGATAAAAGCTCGCTGCTGCCAAGAGGGAAAGGTCCTGCCCTTCTTTTCAGCTTCTGCACCCCCAGCTCCTGGCTTCACAAACCCCAGATGGCCTGTGCAGTGCTGGTGCTCCTCCAGACACACAGTAAGCCAATTTACTGCAGTGGCAGAAAGGGCACTTAAATAATAACAAAAAGAAATGCTTTTGTCTGCGGTGATCCGTCAGGTTGCGGCGCCAGACGGAGGGGTCAGGCACTTGGGATCAGGGGATGTGGGAGGAAAGAGCAGGGAAGGCTGGACAGCAATGAAGGGAAGAACTCAGAAGGAGGGACTAGGAGAGAAAAGCTTCCAAGTTGTGTCAGCAATGAGACATTTATTTGGCTAAACCTTCTATTTTTGCCTGTTTGACACCTACTGGAAAATCCAGCTGGGCTTCGCAGAGCAGCACGTACAGTGTGTGGAACAGCCCTGTCCTGAATGAAAATATCTCATTTACAATCTATGAAAAAGTCTCTGTGGCAATTGTGGGGGCTTGTTTTAGTTTTTGCACATGTGCATTACTTTACAGTCATTGTGTGACAGTGTTCACAGGGATCCGAGGATGAGGGAAGAGACAAGGATCTGACTCCATGTTTCAGAAGGCTTAATTTATTATTTTATGATATATATTATATTAGAACTATACTAAAAGAATAGAAGAAAGTATTTCATCAGAAGGCTAGCTAAGAATAGAAAAAGAAAGAATGAATAACAAAGGTTTGTGGCTTGGACTCTCAGTCCAAGCCAGCTGACTGTGACTGGCCATTAATTAGAAACATCCCCATGAGACCAATCACAGATGCACCTGTTGCATTCCACAGCAGCAGATAATCATTGTTTACATTTTGTTCCTGAGGCCTGTCAGCTTCTCATGAGGAAAAATCCTAAGGAAAGGACTTTTCATAAAAGATGTCTGTGACATCATTGTTCTTGAGTTTTATTGTCTGTTGTATTGCTTGGTCAGTCGTCATCATGCAATCCTTCTGCAGCAGTTCACAGTAGCCAGAGCTGGAGGCCACACATCCAGAAATTCTTGCCCCATCTGAAAACTCCTTAACTCCATTTTAGCCCATTTAATGTAATTTATTGATATGTTAAAGAATAAAGATCCCAGCACTGAACCTGGGAGCATCATGACATCTGCCTTTCCACTGTGTTCAGTTCAGTGTTCTCTTTCATAATTCTTAAACCACTATCAGTCCCTGAGGGAATCCTTCCTTCCCAACTGAGAGGGCTGAAGAGCTTTCAGTAAGGAGCACAGTTGCCACCATTTTTGGAAGATGGCAAACTCATCACTTGAGCACAGATTGTGTCCACGGATGGGTGACATGGATGTCTTCCCTGGATAAAATGAATGAGGATACATAGATCATACAGATAATATTTGCTATTTGTTCTCTTCTTTGGGGGATTTTTTTCTGTGATTTCCAGCAGTGGCAGGGAGCCCTTGTGTAAGTTTGGTGCCACACTGCCACCTTTCATTCCTCCAGCACTTTGTCAGTGCTGAACTATAGATCACATCTCATGGCAGCTCCACAGCTGAAGTGCTTTAAGCTCCTGAATAAATATCATCTGATCTGGGCAGTTTTTCGCTGGTTCGGTTTCTCAATTTGCTCCAAGTCATCTAATATTGATTTATCAAGCTGAGGCAGTTCTTCCTGGTGAAGAATGTCTCCATTGTAGGAAATTCATGGATACTTTTAGGGCCATTAGATGCTTCTGAAAATCTCTGAGGTTCTTTTGTAGCTTAGCAATATGTGCTGTCACAAACATTAAATACATAGTCACTCTAGGGTGTTGTTTCCTCTGTCCCACCCCTGATAGGCATGAATCAGGGTACTGTGTCTTTTTTCTTTTTTTTCCCACATATTATATAACAAGTTGAGGCTCTATTTTATCCTCTAATGTTCTGAGTCTTGATAGACACTTTGGTTGTGTTTTCAATTGTTGTTTTTCATAGAATCATCCTCAAATCACAGAATGGGGTAGGTTGGAAGGCATCTTAAAGATCATCTAGTTCCAACCTCTCACCATGAGGGTGGGTTTTTTTTCCCTGAACTGCAAAATCTAACACAATATAGACAGAAGTTTAATATAATTGCCTGTTTGTTCGTTTGTTTTTTTTTTTTTAATTAAGATTTGCCTTTATGGAAAGGTTATGAGACAGTTTATGATATGAGAATTAGATTACCTACATAGTATTTATTTTTTTAAGTTCTACTGAAATTTGGACCCTAAATGCTTACGTGGATTTACAACAACGCTACATGACATGAAAAGTGATGAACATAAACCAACTTTTGCTGTCTTTCAGCCTTTTCACTGTAACTCAAAGCCCTTTTCTTGTACTTTAACAGAGAGGTGCTCCTTTGTTTCAGCCACTTGTGAAAGCAGAACAGGAACTATTTCATTGCTCCCTCTAGCCTAGGTCAGGTGCTGTGAGTGGTCAGCTATCCAGATACTCAGCATGCCAAGGAAGGGAGGGCATATTCACTGGATACCCAGCTTCAGGCAAGGAGACTTGTCCTCTTTGGCTTTTGTAGCAACATTTCTCTTCACAGAGAAAAGCAAGGCACAACTTCCCAAGGATATTTCTGGGATTCACATTCTTTGAAACTCAGATAAAGAAAAAACAATTCTTATCTCACTTGCGGCTCCTGTGTTTTGGAACAAGTGGAATGCATTGAGGAGGATTATTTACCTGAAGGAATTTGCTTGATTGGATTCTGGTGTGAGTGTTTTGGTTCATTGGCCAGCTGAATCCGCGTGTGTGTGTCAGGACTGTCGGCTGACAGTCACAAGATTCTGAATGCAGTGAGTGTTTGTGCAGATTCAGTTGTAATATAGTGTAATATAGTAAAGAATAATATAGTATGATAAAGTAATTAATTAGCTTTCTGATAATATGGAGTCCTCATCTTTCTCCCCTTGTTGGGGGTTGCTTGCTTTCATTATAGGTTGTGAGCTGCTGTTCCTGAGGCTGGCAGGCACCTTTCTTCTTACATTGATGATGGGTGTCCAGAGCCACAGGCAGCCTCACAGCATCACTTATTTTGTTCTGCTAAAGCCAAAAGCCTTCACTTTTTATCCCTGAAACTTCTTTGTGCTTTGGCTCATACTGCCTTACAGAAACTGCTTATTCACTGATTTCTTTCTGAGATTTATTCCAGTCAGGAGCACAATGAACAGCAGCCAACGTCATTGTGACAGTGCTGCAAATATCTCCAAATATTGCCAAACTGCCACACCATAGATTAGGATTTCATTGTGGGAACCAGAATTTAATGAGAATAGCACTTGAAATCTCAGAATAATTGGTCATTGGAATGATTGATATGTTGATTGGAGTAGATACCCTGTAAACCAGAAATAATAAAATCAAGGGCCCAGAGATTTTTGTAAGGATGTGCTTGTCTCAGCCCCAACAAAAACTGTTACAGAAGAGAGAGATAATAGGAATCAGATTATGACAGTTTTCTCTTTTTTTTCCTCCTAAAATGATATAAATTGTATCTCTCAGATTAGAAGTGTTTTCTGAATTATTTACCAGTTTACGTTTTTTATCATCTTTCTTCACATCTTCACTAGAATAGTAATAGAATAAACAAGCAAAAGTTTTTGGCTTTTATTTCTGAAGGGCAGAAAAAATCCACACTTCAAGCAGCATCACAGTCAGCATCCCCCCCGTTTTCATCTCCTTTTGATCTCCACTGAGGACAGACATATTCCTCTGCCTCTCACTAGGCACGTGCTGGGCTCAGGAATTCCACATCTCATGGCTGTCTCTAGAGGGAATTTTCTCATGCCAAAGCCCACAGTGGAAAGAACTGCATTTTTACTGTGTTGAATATTTTTAATATCTAGCAGGATTGGTAGAAAGGGTAGCAAAGCAAACAAAATTAGTATGGGCCTCAAGGTGGAAATAACTCATCTTTGCTGTTAGAGTTTTCTTCCTCTTCAAGTCCGTTTCAGCTGAAGCCAAAGATGCTCAAGTTCAAATGCTCAGACAATTTTGCAAATGAATTTATGGCTCATTCTGTGAAGCACGGAAGGAAATGCTAGTTCCAGTTCAGTTCCTAGGAAAATATCCACAGTGCCTCACGTTGCCTGCTGCCACAACTGCTTGTCACCCTTACCTCTGATCTCTCCCAACCCACTCAACTCTTGCTGCTCTGTGGAAAGCTTTGCTTTCATACTGAAATGTGATCTTTAGAAGTGTTTACTTAAACGAATAACATGCTGCTTTTGTACTCGTTCTGTGTTTCTCATACCATTAAAAAAGTCCTTTTCTGTTCATTCTCTGATTCCAGGGATCAGTCCTTTGCCTTCCAGAGTAAGGCAGCACACAGCATGGCAAACACCACCTTGGTGTATTGGCTTGATTATAACTCAAGCAAAGTTCTTGCCAGGCTTCTGTAAGGAATCGTGGTTTTCACTGGTTGCCATCACTTGATTACTCTAATCAAGATTATATCCCTAAAACTACTGGTTCAGCCAAGTTGTCCTGCTCAGAATACAAGATTCAATCACCATGTTCAGTGTAATAGAACAAGCTGCCTCCCTTACCCTTGTAGCCCAGAGACTGATCACAGGATGTGACAGCTTAAAGTTCCAGTGGCAATAAATGTTTTTTTCCACATGAATAAAAAATGAGGAAGTGTGTGCATGCACATTTTCAGCAGGTGGTTTCCAACAGCCTCACTCTCTAACCAGCTGTTTTCTCTGTTCCCTTCTTGTGGCTTCTGCAGCAAACATGCTGCATTATTATTCAGAAGATTTTGAGGAGGGAAAATGGAAAGTCCCCAAACCATTCCTTTCCTGCAGCCTGCATGGCTGGCTGGGAAGCACAAGATGTGCCTACTCAACAGCTCAGTGGAAAGGGGTAGAGCAGCCAATTTATTTTCCTCTGACAGCTCAAAACCTCCAGTTTCTGTGCTCTCCTGACTTCCTTGTCTCTACTTCTCATTGCAGGGGTCACTGCAAACTGGTTCCACCTGGCTGCAAACAGCTGTGCTGGTAATTACTTTATTGGCCATAGAAGATCCCAACAGGTCACATTCTTGCTTGATTTCCCATCTCTTCTTTATGTTCCTCCTTGTCTCTGCGGTGGGAATTGACAGCTTTCCCAATGCAAGAGGTGGAAGCTTAAAATAATAATGTATTTAATTGCAAAGGAATGTTTGAAGGGAAACAAAGTGCTTTGTTCTCAGACATGCCTGGGTACTTCTTTTGGAATTACAGCCTCTAGGAAGGCATTGCTTCACCTACTGCCTCTGCAAAGCACCACAGTCACAGGTGGGATCACTCTGCCCCCTGGAATTGTCTGTTTTGTTAATTATTGTCTTCTGTCTCCTTTTATAGAGACACATTTTATAGGGTTTTACAGTTATAAAGTCAAATATTACAGGTTTGTTATAGGGAGAAAATAATGAATTATAGAAGATATATAAGAGCAGATATAAACTAAGATTACTCTAAGGCATTCATTCATTTGAATGGCTCTCATAAAGTACATTAATGTCAGAGATTGCACTCAACACACCTTCACTGCATGGTTAACCCAAACATCACCTTTATTTTCCCCCCATTTCTACTATTCAGGTGAAAAATCTTGTACTATTGAACAAATACATCCTCCCCAGTAAGGGTGACAACCCTTTGGACTCCGGTGGAAGATATCCAGAAAACAGGAAACAACAAGGAATTAATTCTCCAGTTTTGTTCCTGTGAATCTCCTACATTTATCAGTAAATTACTGAGACTGGCAGCCTAATTCTTCTGGTACTTTTTAAAGAAAATATCTTTCCAAACAAGAAAAAAAAAAAAAGGATCACTGAGGAACCTTCAGGTAGCTCCATCCACTGCTGAAATAGAGTTTAATTTTTCCAGAACTGCTAAAAGGAAAATGAAAATATGCTTCCTGCCAATTAGTGGGGATTTCTTAAGACTTTAAATTTAACTTTGATTACATTGAGAAAGATGGTGGTAAAGCTTCTGGCAAAATGCATTGGTAATAATTGCAGCTGAAAGTACAGCAAAACACAGGAATAAATTGTCTGGCTGTTGTGGTGTGCCTGTTGCTGACAGCTTTTAATAATACATTAGAGCTAAATTAGCATCTCTCATTTTCAGGGTAGTCCAGTAGATCTTGCCTTAGGGCAGATGAATAAACTGGTTATTAGACTGAGGTCCCTCACAGCCCTGATTTTCTGTGATTGCTCACCATCCCAAGGAAAAGGCTTCTGCTCTTGTCACCCAGGCTATGAATGATCAAGGTCTGAGTGCGGTCCTGGCTGTCTGGAGCCTTTTTATGTGCCCAGGTGAGGAGTGGGACAGAGGGGAGGTGAATATTCCTGCTGCCTCACTGCTTGCACTGGCTGACACTGTTTTATCCTGACAAAACCTTGTCAGCCCTGCCCACAGCAGTGTCTGAGCCTGGGCTGGGGTGTGGAGTATTTTCAACAGGCAGGGGAGCTGGAACAGCAGGAATTCTGTGGGACACCTGCAGAAGCCATTTCAGGATGTTTGTTCTGTGGAAGGCAGCCACAAACTTGGGAGAACACATCTGCAGGTGTTGCATCCTGCTGCAGCGCTCATTCATCTGGCTGGCAACACTGAAGGGTTCAGAGATTTAAATTGTTTTGAGTTCACTTTCAGGGAGTTGCCAGAAAGTCCAAGAAAATCTGCTCCTTTCCTGTTTAAAGAACTCCATAGGCTGTGGAATGCAAAACCACTGGAGAGGAAAAAAAATCCTTTCAGCAAGTTACATTTTCATAGGATGTTATTTTTTCTTCCATTTTATATTTAATGATTTTTTTTCTTCCTTATACATGCTGGATAGGCCTACTAAAAGCATCTTAAGCACATTAAATATTTTACCTACACAATTTCTGAAATGCAAAATGAATAAATGCTGTTAGCAGCTGGCAATGAACATCTCACTTAAGGTTCATTTATATTATCCCAATAAATTGCTTGGCACATGATTTAAAGCTTGTACTGGAAGTCAAACTAGGTCTAAGTGTAGCAGTAATGGAGAATTATGTTTTATTGTTACCTAAAACTTTGCATGACAAGGAATCTACAGCTGGATGGGTTCAAACTAGAAACTTCCTCATGAGATTCTTTTAAATGGAACTTATTTGGGAAAGAAAATTCATCTTAGAAGCGGTGGCTTTCTTTAGTCTTTAAAATAAAATTGTAGGGTCCAAGATGATTCACCACATAAATAAACTAGATTAGCAAATATTGATTCCTCACATTTATGTAGGGCTATTCATCTGGGGAAAACAGCATCCTGTGCTGATTTATATTCCATTCTCTTTCTTACACTCTGTTCTCTTACCAAACATCTAAAATAAGTAGCAGATCAAATGCTTTTTTACCACTGCAGAAAAGGATTAGAAAAGTAAAGAACTGCCAGGAAAAAAAATCATAGGTACATGGAATTATCAATGGAAATGTTTTCTTAGGGCTAACTGAGACCAGACCATGTAGGCTTTGGAGAGCTTAAAGTTACTAAAAATGACCTCTATCCTGACCAGCTCCCAGGTAAATAAATAATGTCTATTTCTATACTTTTATTCAGAACTGGGCAGGCTTTGTCACAGTGGGGTAAATCATGGGTGTGAGGAATTTGTGGAAGTCTGTCTGTGATGATGTTCACAGGTGTTTTCAGCTGAGGGAAGAGATGAGAATGTTGACTCCATGTTTCAGAAGGCTTGATTTGTTATTTTATGATATATATTACATTAAATCTATACTAAAAAGAATAGAAGGAAAAGTTTCATCTCAGAAGGCTAGCTAAGCTAAGAATAGAAAGGAATTAATAATAAAAGTTTGTGTCTTGGACAGAGAGTCCAAGCCAGCTGTGCTGTGATTGGCCATTAATTACAAACATCCAAGATGGGCCAATCACAGATGCACCTGTTGCATTCCACAGCAGCAGATAATCATTGTTTACATTTTGTTCCTGAAGCCTCTCAGCTTCTTAGGAAGAAAAAATCCTAATGAAAGGATTTTCATGAAAAGATGTCTGCGACATATGTCCTAGCAGCAAATTGCAGGAGTGATCACCTAAGGGCTGTGAAACCCACAGGTACAGCTTCCAGTCCCACTGGGTCTATTTCCAAGAACAGGAAGATTTCAGAGACAAAACACTTCTCAGCATTGGTTCTGGGTTTGCTGTAAAAGAATGCAGTCACACTGTCAGAGAAAGGACATTCAGGTATGGAGGCTGATGTTTATTTCCTGCTGCTGTGGGTGAACCAACCACAACCACAACCTTCTGTGCCAGCTTCTTTTTCTGCCTTACAGTCTGTGATAACAGACATTTCTAGACTAGAAAAACAAGGAAATGGGTGATGTTTGAAGTCTCTCTCTGCTCTGCTTCCCTTTCACTTTGCCATGCTGATAACTGCACACTTTGGAGAGACCATATGAGCTGCCAAAGAAAGCAGGGAATTATCCTGACAGCAGTGCTGAGATAGCATCTCTAGGGGCAAAGCAGAGGAGTGGAATCAACAAAAAATCATGATGGAGTGGATAGTCTTTCTCTCTTTAAACCTCATTTTACTTGCTGCTTTAGCAAGCACTGAACTTAAATATGAAATATCTCCTTGAAACCAATGTGGAATCCCCAAATGGGACTTTTGGCAGCAGAGCTTGCCAGAGGGTGCAAGGGAGATTCCATAATAAAGCACAGGAACTGGCAGCCTCTGGCCCTCAGAGGGGAATAACTGAAAATCAGTGCCTGAGTCATGGAGACAGATACAAACACTCCTGTTAGTTCTCTGAGAGATCAGCATTCCCATCAGGCCACCACCCTGACAAGTCTTGTACACATTCTCAGCCCAAAGCAGATAAATAAGGGGAAATTTGGGAAAAAAAGGACTCGAAGAATTTCAGAATTTCAGTATAAGAAACACAGGGTTACACTGTTAATTTACTGATCACTTTCAAAGGCACTGCTCCAAAGTTTGGGTTTAGCTTTAAATATGCTGTGTCTATTTCAAAGCAGGAATTCTAAGGTAATGCAATTGCAATCTTGTGAAGGGTTGCACATCCTTTCACAGACAGCTGAGTGCAGAGAGCCATTCAGGACAAGAATTGCTTGTTCTTTCTCTGTTGTTCTCTGAAATGAAGTCTTTGACTTCTCACAGTGAAGCCCAAAGTTCCTGCCAAGGTAGAGAGCAGAGAGGAGGAATGGGAGAAGACTGATGGCAGCATTCTTCTGTGAATTTGTCTCATTGTTTCTGCAATCTGCATGTACCTTTGACTTTGTGAGCTTCCAAATGTAGAGATTTCTACAATGCAGTAAGAAGCCCTTCTATTTTTGTGTTGCCAAGAGAAAAGAGATTCCTTTAAAGCCTCATGGTAATATTCATGTAGCTCTCCTGTTCACAGCTGCTGTTTCATGACAGATGGAATCAGGCATTTGGACATGGCCAGTGGTGAATAGTGACTCATTCTACCTGGTTACCTGAGTTGTCTGTGAACAACTGAGTTATAACACACACAGGGGAGACAAACTGATGTGAAGTGCAACAGTGCAGTCCCAGGCAAGGGAAAGGAGTAAAGAAATTGCTGAAACAAAAAGAATTATTATTTCTCCAGAGTTTTGGCTCCCAGAACCTTTTGTCTGAGTCTGGTTTCCAAACTTCTCAGAGGTTGTTTCGTTATTCCTGCTCAGGTCACATCACTTGTGCCCAGAGCTGGTCAAACAGGCTTTGGCTGTCAGTAGCCAGGTGTTCCCACCTCTGCTCTGTCTGCAGGTTCCCAGGAGCACAGGGAAATGCTCCAGGCTAAAATCATGACAACACTACCAGCACTAACATATCTTTCAGATGATTTATGGGAACCAGAACTTCATGAATGGGAGCAGCACTCAAAATCTTTCCTTCCTTCACCACTGCTGCTTCTGCCCTAGGACACACGACTGCTTTTGCCTGTCCAATGGAAGGGAATCACATCAGCAGCTCCTCTAAGATGAGAGATGTGGTGGCTGTACCAGAGCT